AGAGTTACAATTTGCGAATCAATCGGGTATGGGCATTTTTTTTTTTTTTTTTTACAATGAGATGTAATCATTTATCATCTTTTATTTTATCTTACTTACATACCATATAACTTGAATTTAAAATTTTTTATTTTCAACTAAAGAAGATAAGCATGAAATTAGGTAGATAGTTGGCAGAAATGAGATAGTTGAGAAAATGGAAAATTTTTTTGGAAGGTTTCTGGGTTCATTTAAAGACGATGAACCATCCCAAAATTCTATGATATCATTTTCAGCAAAGAAAATGTCCGGAAATATGAACACAGGCATAATAAAATGACCAAGTCCCCGTCCCTGGTCTACCATAACACACCTGCACATTCAAAGGCGAAGACTTTGAAGTGAAGGGATGTTAATTAAAAACAGAAGTTTGTTGACAAATTAATAATAAAATTTCACAAGTAAAAGAGTTACCCTTCACCAGTCTCCACCTCCTCTCACCGCTACCAAAGTTGATTTTTTTAACATTAAAAGGTCAATTATTTAGTAACACAAAAAAAAAAAAAATTTCTTTTGAACAAATTACAATTTTGAAAGAGGGAGTTCGAACTCCAATTTTAAAATTAAAATATGTATTTTCCGATATGATATATAATCATAAAATCATAAGATCATAGAATCATAAAGTCCAGATATATTTAATAATGCAAAACTCATCATTGATTTAAATCAAAATTTTAATATTAATAAACATTAACTTAACCTATTTCTTATTATTCTCACCCTTACTGAATGAATATAAATAAAAAGTAACCTATATGTTTGAAAATTTTTTGCAATATTTTGCTCCCAAACCAAGCAGTTTGAGTCAATAATTTCTTTTAAACAATGGAGTGGTTGAATCATGAATGAGAAGCGGCGAGTCCACGTCCCCCAACAAAGACTTTGTATTTCCATTTCCAACCAGGCCAGACTAGTCATAGTTTAGCTTCCATGCCATCCAGTCAATGAATTTCAATAGAAATATTCCACTTTAAGCCCTTTTTAAAGAGTCATGTTCTAGATGCCGACAATTTTTTCAGCAGTACAATGAATGGGTTCTCACCGACTTATATAATGTAAGTATTATATTAATTTTTGTTATTTATTTTAAAATTTTAATAATTAATATAATATTTAAAATTTTAAAACAACCTTTTAAATCTTAAAATACGTACCTGAAAAATTGATGGGATTGATCCCAACTCATAATAAATAAAGAAATAGACGAGGAAAAGAACAAATTTCATGTCAAAAAAGAAAGAACAAGCTTTCGTTTCGTTAATCAAATTAAAAAACCCTTTTTGTTTTGTTTCTTGTACATAATGAGGCTTAAGATTAGTCCTGTTTGTGCGGAGTTTTATGTCGGAATTTTTTTCTAATTTTGCTTGTAATTTAATTTGTCATTTGTTATTCCTATATTTTTCAGATGTGTACAGTGTGAATTTATCTTATAATTGTGCTTTCCAGAGATAAATTTTATAAAAAGCAAAATTAAAAACCAATATTTAGATTTTTAATGATAGTGATTATTGTTACTATCAATATTGTTAAGAGAATAGTGTTCATTTATCTTATTTCTCATAAAATTAAGAGGAAATAATTTAAAAAATAAATTGTTTC